AAAAATATATTTTAATAAAAAAATGTTTTTAAAGCTATACTGTTGCTTAATACGGCCCCGATTTGAAATAAACAACTTTTATTCCAACACATGTTATTGGGAACCTGCAGCCTACACAATTAATTTAGTAAAAAAAATAAAATATCTCTAATATAAAACATTTTTGAACTATAATACTGCCTGTAATGGAGCCAATTTGACTTTAACATCTATCTTTGAAGAGCTGTTATGTTGTGGACACATGAAATCAGCTTCTATGAACTGATTTATCTCATAAAAACATATTTATTTTAATTCTAAAAATATGTTTAAAACTATAACATTGCTTGTAACTGAGCCAATTCAGCACAAACACCTAGTGTACACAGATTTTAGGTTGTGGGCTGTTATACAGGCCTGTTTAACTCTTTAAAAATAAAAATATTTTTATTTAAAATAAATGTTTTTATCATGATAATGTGGTTTGTACCTGAGTTAATTTGACATTAACACTAACTCATATTCTAATGGAGGTGATGCTACTGGACACATGTAGTCCAGCTCACCCTCATTTATTATTTTTATCATAGTAAAAGTATGTTCAGTATTTTATTATTGCTTGTAAATGAACCAATTTGACACCTAATATTTAAATATATTTTTATTTCATTACTTATTTTAATGCATGTTTTAATATTTGAAGAGAAAAAAACAGAATCTCTTGATACCTTTAAGGCTTACTGTAGCTGCTAAATTAAAATAAATGAAGTACTTTTATTTATTTCATGTGTTTTGCTTGTTTTGTTAGAACAGATCAGAAATGAGGGGAAAAAAGTCATTTTTCTGGCATGTTTTGAGGCCACATTAAACGACATAAACTATCCAAACAATTGATTTCGTCGTTTTAAAATTGATTAATTTAACTTCACAGCAGCCATCGGACGGTTTTAATGTGACTGCCTGCATTCTGAGGGCTTCACATGAACTTTGAGGACTTTTAAAGAATAAAAAAAGGCTGCAAATGTATTGAACAATGACTTTTTCCTGCATTTATTTCCATTTTTCATACATTAAAAAAAATAACAATCGTCTTCTCTGTGGGAAAACAGTGCAAACGATTGTTTTTAATTTATTTGCGTGATTATTTCAACAGCGTGCTGGAAGAAAACGAGGTGCAGCAGCAGCAGCAGCAGCAGCAGGACATGAGCAGGAATGCGGCTGAACCCCCACGTGTTGGAGGCTGCCGGGCTGCTGGTTGGTGGTCGGTGGTCCCGTGTCTCTCTGTCCCACCTTGTGTGTGTGTTTTTCTGTTGGGGGGTGGAGGAGGAGGAGGTGGAGGAGGGAGAGAGGGGGTGAAAGAATTACTTCCAGGGCACATCAACTCGTTTCCTCATCGCCCCCCAGCACCGCTCCGCAGCCCCTCCACGGGCTCCGCGCAGCCCGCAGGGTGAACGTGTTTGTGCAGAGCGCGGGGGGCGGGGGGAGCGGGACTCTCCACTGATGCTGCCTTCAGGTGCTGCTCATGTTTTACAACTATAGGGTAAAAAAAACAGCTTTAATTGTTCATTTAAACGCAGCATTTCGCATTCAAAACTGTGCGGGTGCATCTCATAATCCCTCACATCCTCCTGCACATGCACTGCGTAAAAAAAAAATTTTAAAAAAGCAATGCAAGCAACTTTAATAGCCCCAAAATCCCTCATTTAGCTGCAGACTTGTTGCTAAATAAATACCCAAAACCTGCAGCAGCACACACAGATCTGCCTCCGTGACCCCACAGCTCGACTCCTTTTCATAAATCAGCTCTTTCCCTCCAAAACGCGGCATTTCCGACGGCACGTGAAAGCACCAAAAAGCCCTGTTCAATACAGGAGGAGCGGGGCAGAAAATAAAAAGCTGCCGTTCAGGGGGCAAGTGGGCAACTACGATACCTGCTGCAGCTGAGAGGAGTTTGTAGGAAATGATGTCGATGGTTTTTTTTTTTAGTTTTTAGTCAGAGGTGTCTGAGAAGCAGCTCAGGTGAGCTAAAGCCTGCAGGTAAACTGTTCTCATCCTGAACTGGCCGATTTAATTTTATTTGTATTTTTTTATTATTTTCTCTGAGGTCGCGGTTTTAAAGTGCAAAACAAGAAACGCGACTTTATCCAGGCGAGTGCAGGAAATGATGCAGAGGATGTAGTCTGACTTTCGATTTTCGTTCTAAGAAGTCAAACCTGAATCTGTCCTGAAGCAAACCTGCTTGTTGTTGTTGTTGTTGTTGTTGTTTTTAAAGCTTCCCGACAAAAAATGAAATAAAATAAAATAGCTCACATTTAACTGATTGAAAAATCTGAATTTTGAGGCAGATTTTTTTCCTCCTACAAGATTCATTCTTTGCTCACAAATAGTTCACAATTAAAACAAACACATAAACAACACAAGTGAGCTTAAAAAACACCCAGAGAATAAAATACAAATTATTAAAGCAAATAGCAGTAAAGAATGAAATGTTAACGTCCATCATTTTGGTTAAGCTGCTGTTTTAAAGTGTTCAAATGATTTCAAGATGATGAATGAATTAAATCCAAATATGAGGCTCATGAACTTAAACTGAAGACAACAAGGATCAAACTGATGCAGTGATTTCATGTCTTGCACCAGTTGGTTTATTTAAACATAATTATTGTTAGGTTCAGTAAACACTAAATATAACAGATTCAAACTCCAACACATGCAAAACCAAAGATAATTCCTTAGTTTGAAATAAATGAAGCCTAAGTCAACAGAAAAACATGAAGGAACATTTTTCACAGTAAATGTGGGGACATCATGTCGAAGATTTATCTCATAAATATTAATAAAAACTGTAAAGAAGCATCTCCTCTGTTTGATTTAGTGAGTTTATGTGATTTTATAGAAGATTTGACTTTAGTTTCTGTTGTGTTATATATGCACTTATATGAATAAAAATTATATTTGACTGTCGCAGCTTTTAATGTAATGTTAGGAAGGTTAGAAATAACTATTCTAGTCTAGTTTAGTCCATTTCTAAAAGGCAGAGGTCACATATCGAAGCACAAAGCTGAGAGAAAAGGGTTTAAATTTTCTGCTAATTTGTACAATAACGTGTTTATTATCTTTTCACATATTTTAAAGCCTCAAAAATACCAGAGCCCAAAGAAAATCTAAAAAACTCCACCAGACTGACCAGAGAGTCTGTTTTTAACCGAGTTATTGAAGAACATTATGTCGTTTTAATTTGTATTTACAGTCCACAGGTCTGAGGAATAAAGATTAACTTTCTATGCGCCCCGGTGCTGTTCACATTTCTGCAAAATTAAATATATAATAAATAAATACAGTTTAATACATGCAAATGTGTTAAATCAAATCATAGTTTAACCACCAAACCACACAGAGTTTAATAATATGAGATGGCAGCTACTGAGCTAGCTTTAGCCTTTAGCAAGAGATATAGCAGTTTTTTATCTTCAACATAAACTGATGTAGCTGCTGCCATATTTAATGACGTAGAACAGCAGTTTAAATTAAGAAAATGTTGATTTACCAATGTGGATAATTTTCATTAAAATAATAACAGCTAGATAGGAGAATTTGACAGCTAAACCTAGCTTCAGTTTTAGCTAAGGCTAGCCACAGTTACCTTGTAGGCTAGCTTTCCCTTGATGTCTGATTTTAGCTGTTTAGTTAACAATCTTTACACTACTTTAGCCATTAAGTTATCTGTCTTTGTATACTTCAAGCTGTGTAGTTAGCTGTTTTCTGTTACTTTAGCTGTTATGTAGCTGTTCCTCTATAGCTTTAGCTGTGTCGTTAGCCGCCTTTCTATAGTTTTAGCTATGATGTTAGCTCTTTCTGTATGACTTAGTTGTAACGTTAGCTGTTTTAATATAGCTTTAGCTGCATAGTTAGCTGTCTTTGTATAATTTTAACTTTGTAGTTAGCTGCATTTGTATAACTTTTTCTGTTTTGTTAGTTGTCTTTCTATAGTTTTAGCTGTGAAGTTAGCTTTTTCTGTACGACTTAGCTGTAATGTTAGCTGTTTCATATAGCCTTCGCGGCATAGTTAGCTGTCTTTGTATAATTTTAATCATGTAGTTAGCTGTCATTTTGATAACTTTTTCTGTTTTGTTAGTTGTCTTTCTGTAGTTTTAGCTGTGAAGTTAGCGCTTTTTGTATGATTTAGCTGTAACGTTAGCTGTTTCATATAGCTTTAGCTACATAGTTAGCTGTCTTTGTATAATTTTAACTATGTAGTTAGCTGCCATTTTGCTAACTTTTTCTGTTTTGTTAGTCGTCTTTCTGTAATTTCAAACGCTGTTCAGCTAGTTGGCTATCTGACTTTAGCTATAAGTTAGCCGTCTTTCTATAATTGAAGCTTGTCTGATGGCTGTCTTTAGTCATTTAGCTAGCTGTCCTTCTATATTTTTAGCTTGTGTCGTCAGCTGTCCGTCTGTATTTTTAGCTTGCGTAGTTGGCCGTGTTCCCCGGAGAGATCCTACATTTCTACGGCATCGTATCATTTATACAGTAAAGCAGATGGAGATTATAACTCAGTCTTGACCAAGTATGTAGTTACTGCTGGAACAGGGTTTGTCATCCCATGTTTTGGTCCGGACTTCTTTTCACGCGAGGATGCTGTAAAACAAACAGCGACCGGACAATAATAGATGATGCAGAAACAGGAGGTCTTGAAGATGGATGGGACGAAGCCGTTTCCCAGCGCGAGCCGGGAGACTTCTTTCATTATCCCTTTGTTTGTTTATTTGGATTACAGTGCGGCGGCCGCAGTCAGGTTGATTGCAGCCGTCGGCGCGTGGTGGTCTGTTATTTAGAGCCGTGGAGTGATTTTTAACTATCTTATGAAACGCCACATCACGACTTCCTCTGATTCCCCTCTAGAAAAAGCCCTTTTTTGTGTGTGTCTCTTCTGGATACCGCACACCTAATCAGCCCTGATTAGATGCACTGTAGAAGAAGGACCGAGCCAGACTTTCAGAAGTTTTGATGACAGGACAGAAGAAAAGCGATGGGCTGCCTTAAATAAAGCCTTCATCAGGCGCTGAGCAGAAACATGTGTGTCCGGATGCAACAGTAGTCGGATCTGTTCCCGCAGTGTCATCCCAGTTCACCTCCTCTTTTCCTTTTAACACCATCGCCTTCACACACAGTCCATGAAAACAGCCTCATTCCCATCAATACAAACCCAACGGATCCCAAATCAAGCAACCAATTAGTAAGAGGGACAATTTGTCCACATCTGGAGCGTATTTTCTCTGCCACCAGAATACCCAGCCATCCCCGTCTTCTTTCAGGCTCAGTGGGAAATGACTAGTGTGTGTGTGTTTTATGTGTTTTGTTTAAAGCAGATGGGCGGTTTACATTAGCGGAGATGGGCGATAAACAGCTCGGGAAGGATGGCGAGGAAACCGCACACAGAGACGGAGGCGCGCCGCCGTCGTCCCGGCCGGCCGAACGGGCCGACGCCGACGAGCTTCTGCCGGGTTTTCTAGCAGCGTTTCTTTAACTAAACAGGTAGCAGCGGTTTTAATGAGCCTCAGACTTATCGTGTTGGGTTCATGGAGCTGAAAAGGCATCACAGTCTGTCTGTTTTTATGGTATTTGGGTGAAATGTAGACATGAAAACAACACAATTCCTCCCTAAAGTTCTTTTTATTCTTATTTTTAGTGCAGCTACCTGTAGATATATGAGGCCTCTGGATGATGGCACCACAATATGCTGGTTAGAGACACACAGATTTCAACAGGATGCATTAGTTTCCTTTTTGCTGTCCATTTTTTTGAGGCCTATCTTTGCTTTTTGTAGTTTTCTTAACACCTCGACATCTAAATACATCTTCATATTTCACATTTTGCCAACAAGAGTTCAGTCACTTTCAGACAGATGTTGCTCCTCTGACACTGAACACATTTTTAGAGCTGGACCACCTCCTCCTGTAGTGACAAAATTTAGGTTTTCCATTCAGATAAACACTATTTACTACCTTTTCTTTTTGTTTTCAAAGCTTATATGGCAGAAAAAAGTCTGGATTCGGCATTAAATATCTGTAATTGTCTGTATTTTTGTGCCTGTTGCTTTATTTTGCTGATAATTCCAAACATGATCCCACATGTCCGATGTTGTTTTGAGCGTCAGAACGGGCCAAACAGTCGAAAATGACTCATTTAGCTGCAGGCTGATTGCTAAATAGATAATTAAAAGCTGTAGCATCAATCACAGCTCTGCTTCTATTAGTTTAAAACTTATTTTCTTGTAATAAATCAGCTCTCGGGTTCTTAACTGCAACGTTTAAACTTGAAGGCACCAAAAGCCAACAGCAGGGCAGCAAATGCTGGGGCAGGAGGGCAACTACGACAGAGTTTGTTGAAAGGAGGCCGTTTGTTTGCCCTCTGTCAGAGGAGTTTGGTGTAAAAGCAGCTCAGGTGAGCAGACGTAGAGCTGAAATCTGGAGGTAAACTCCTTTTTTTAATCCTGATCCTGGTCAGATTTTTGCTCCTCTCTGAGGTCGCAGTCAACAAATGCAGCTTCATGTTGTGGGGGGGGGGTAATAAAGTTCTTCTAACCCTGATGCTCAATCCAGCCCTGAACACTGAGACGTAAACTTCAGCGGCTGCTGATTGAACGCTGTGGCGTGAAAGATAACTCACGGTCGCATCCTGTGCCTGTGATGTAACCGCAGAGCATCTGGTGCACGATAAAGCGAGTTAAAGGAGGAGATGTGAGCCCGGACCGGCTTCTCCTCCATGAAGGTGGGGTCTGGAGTGGCAGACGGGCCACATCGGCGGCCTGCAGCAGGTTGATAAGGTGGAAGGGTGGAGCGCCAAGAAGCCGGTCCGGCTCCACGAAACCACGTCACCAAGAAACACCACAGCTGAGAGAAAAGCTAAAAATAAAACCAGGCCGCCTGCCAACACACCTCAGTGGTTTCTATACAAATCTACATATTAAAACATCATCTTTAGGCTGAAATAAACAAGTTTCATCGCTGACATCAGCCTGAATATGTGTTAGAATAAAGCAAAGTAGGAGTTTATATCATTTTTGTTGTGCTTTAATGCCTGATATGTAAAATAGTCACACCAGAAACAACCCCATGTGGTCCGAACTCAAATATTCAGGTTAATTTTATAATCTTTTTTTACTGGAAAGCACTTTATGTTTCAAATGAGCCGTGACTACGACACACTAAAAGCTAAAAAAGAAAAGGCCCACGAGTTTTGTTGTT